GAGGAGTAAGTCTAAAAATACCTTAGTTTGTACGTTGTCTTCAAGCAAGTTGATAGTATAACCTTAAATGAAGTGAATTTTTCATGAACTGAATCGATTATTTCTTCCATGTTCTCAAGGAAAATATCGAATGATCCTAAGCAAGTTCTGTAAACACATACAATGAAAATTTTAATTTTTTTAATTACTACACTTCCACATTCCAAATTAAATAAATTTCATTTTCAATTATAAGACTTTTATTATTTTTGCCTCACTTTCACCACCTCAGACGGTCTGGAAAACTCAGAAGTAACATTCGTCGTGTTTAGTCGATCATCGGGTACGCAACATATCTCAGTCCCGTAGGTGTACAAAGTCGATATTTTTCAATATTAATCAGGCATGTCAGGATAACTGATGCTGTGATATATATAAGTGAGAAGTAAATGATGGGGTATTAAGGTATTTTTTGGTATTTATTCAAGGTATTTTGAGAATTTTACTGAACACTTCTTCACTTCCTCTTGAGAATTTCTGACTAATTTTAGGATTCTATTCCAGCAACTCTATCGGCAATTTCCCGATATTCTCGATTTTTTTTAATCGATAGGTTCTACAAGTATTATCATCAAATTTGCAGAACCAGATCGAAATGCTTCACTTTTTGAAAATTGAATTTGCAATAAATCCAGGCTCCAGGATGTTGAATCATAAATGCGGTGTGGTTGGGCTCTAGTTCACAACTAGTTTGCCTTGCAGTGAAAGCTACACCGAAAGACAGAGAAAGAATCTCGTCGGCGATTGATGTCGAAGGTTGGCTATGCAACTGACCGCCTTGGGGAGACTCGTCAATTTTCCATATTCGAGAATTGATATATCTGTCGATCCCATAGGTAGTGCCTTAACATAGAGAGATTTCATCGAACGTACTCAGACTTGTTCTTCAAGGACAGTTGAGTCCAGCAACGCATTCGTGGTTAAGACTGATGAAAACTATAGCGGGTCGAAACAGCGCTGTCTTGTGTTGAATCATAAAAGCATTGTGTATGGTCTGTAGTTTACAACTAGTTTGTCTTGCAGGGAAAGTTGCAGTGAGAGAATAATTGTATTCAGTCACTGTTGGCCTTGCCTCTTTGGAAGCAATTATTTAGGGACATCAGTTGATAAAAATAAACTCAAGAACCAAGGAAAATGCTGATTAACTTATAAATTATTTCGGTACTCTTGTCAGACGTTTTGGTAACCATCAATGTAATGGTGAAGAACTCGATGATGAACACCAAAGAAATTCAAAAAAGGCGAATAAATACTTGATACAAAATAACTGTGTTTGTAATTAGCATCCCTTTCAGAAAAAACAACAATTCTGGTGCCATAGACTCTTGCTAAATTTTCCATTGTATCCCATCGTTTCAAAACATCAGAATGATGTTTCTTGTATCTGATAGAGAAAAGAAGGTTACATTAGGAGACAGCAGTTAAACCATTATCACATAAGCGCAATTACTTTTATTGCTATTCTCAAATACTCGTTTATCTGCAACCTACTTTGCATCTGTTACCAAGAATGAATCAGTTATAGGAAACTAATTTTTGGCGTCTTTTGGAAGAGTGAATCCAGTGATGGGCTGGAACAATAGTTGTACTGAATTTTGTCTGGAAGTGTATTGGAAGGTACAACTGAAACTTCTGCCGTAAAATGAATCATTGAAAACACTTTTCCCACGCCAGAACAAAAACACTGTCTTTCGGGGCGTGTTTAACTAACCAAGTCGGCATTATAATCCTTCTATAATATTTACTTTGGAGATGTTTTCTCACTGTAGAGAGAAACGGTTAGTGAGTTTTCAAAATTTTCATACAAATATAGGAATGTATAAAGAATGCATTCCTGGCTGGCGTCAATGTTTTGATTGGTTTCCGGGTTTTGCAGTGCTCCTTTGGTTACAATCTCCAAACGTTTCAACTGTAACTGCGGCAGTTGAACTGCGCCACTGAAGATAACTGTAAAACCCGAAAACCAACCGAAACATTTTCATACAAAGTTTCGTATAATAAACTATCACCAGTTAAATATATATACATGGAAAAAAGCTCAGAGAGAAGCTTTATTTCTGCATCAAAGATTTTTTTCCTTGCCATTTGACTTCTGAAACAGCTAGAACCAGCTTTGATAAAAATAAATCAATTTGAGAATTCAAAATAATTTTACCTGATTCAGTTAAAAGTGATTCAATAAAATAAATTAAAAATTGCAATATACCTATTGAGTAATTTGAAAGGGTTATATTTTTAGGAGTGACTAATTTTTGGGAAAGTTTTTGGCTTTCTACTACGAAACAAAGTCTGTATGTATTCTGGCGCCTTCAATAATAATTGTATTTAATCACTGTTGGCCTCTTTAGAAGCAATTATTTAGGGGTATTAGACAAGAATATATGGAGGATCTGTTGATAAAAATCAACTCAAGAACCAAGGACATAAAATATCGTAATTTATGAATGAAATGTGTGCTTTTTCTTATAATGTTATCCAAATTGGTACTGATGAACCCTAAGGCAAGTGTCTTACGGCGAAACATCGATGTCTACCAGTGAGCATGAGAGTGGTCCATGGAAGTGAAATTTTTATATTCATTTAGTATATACCTAGTGTGGAAACCCTGTGAATGATATCTGATTTAATTTCATAACGAATGTTTGGAATACAAACTGAGTAGATAGAAGTGTTTTATGTATAATTCAGTGTTCATATAAAAGTATTTAATAAAGTAGCTGTTTCAGGAAGACTTTTTCTTCCAGATTTGTGTCTGAAAGTTACTTCTTTGCATGATCTACACATCTATGTATACAGTCACTTCTTTTAAAATTGATTACTTCCTTCCTTTCTTTGGAAGATTCCCACTTTTTTCTGTATTAAGATGGAGTAGTAGAAAGCCAAAAACTTTATTTCCCAAAAACCTATTGGGTCCTAAAGCAAAACCTTTTATGCTCACTTTTATGTATAAGAAATCAAAATATTATGCATATGAAATCATTTTGTTACCTTATCTTTAAAGATATGTAAGTTAATGCAAAAAGAATGCAAAAAGAAAAAAAAAACAATTGAAAAAATACAAAATGGCTAACTTATACTTACTTAACAGGTGATTTTTTCCGGTCCATATAAAAAAGTAAAATTGGTGATGGTTTGTCGAAAACAAAATAATGGATTCGAAATCTGTTAACAGCTTGGAAAGTGAAAAGGAGAGGCGTATTTAATTTTTTCAATATCTCCTTGAATAACATGAGAAAAAATGAAAAAAAATTGGCGAATTTTGGTTCTTTTCAAATATCACTGACAACAATCAGAATCTTCGAAATTTTGAAACTTCATTTAAATATAAATTGATGGATGAAGCCGTTAGTTACTACGTGGTGGGAGATCATCATGAAAAATGAGAATTAAAACTTCCTATGTTTTTTACCACTTTTATTTGTAACTAACGTTACTGCGGTTTCGTCCTATACGTACATTTTCAAAGTGTTGTGTTGTATTCGTTTAAAAATGTCCGTATAGGACGAAACTGCAGTAACGTTAATTATAAATAAAAGTGGCAAAAACATAGGAAGTTTCAATTTACATTTTTCATTCATTTAAATAAGTTCTGAATTGGGCAACTGTTAACCGACATTGTATCTCACACACTTTTCGATTTTCCTTGGATAAACAGTACTTATTGTTGTTTTAACAACATATCTTCTTCATTTTCATATGAAAGGAAAGCTTCCATGAAAAGTTCACATTGCCATTCACCCAAGTTCAGATGATTGTTTTTCTTATTTTTTATAGCTGCCTAGGGATAAAACAATCTCTTTTATCAAGTTTAGTAAGAGGAATTAAATAGAAAGGTAGAAACTGCTTTTTCATGATTACCACTGACACAAAGGTTGTAGGAAATATAAAGGTCTACAACTTTGGTAGGTATAAATTTTCCACATAACCTAAAAATGTTCGATAAATATTCAAAAAACCGGTATTTTCGTTTTCGATTTTTTTCTGCTATGAAAATTATTTGTTTTGTAGGATAGTTTTTGGAAACGGTGCATTTTTTTATGTTATTCCCGACATTATACTGAGATTTTGGGAGTTAAACTGAGTAGTTCTGCTAGCATAAAATTAATGGCTGGTGAATATTTTGTCATCTAGTTGTGAAAAACAAGTGTTCTGAATTCCTACCATCATGTAGTACCAACCCAGAAAAAATCACGAAAATCTGTGAGTATGCCAAAAAAATGGCAATTTATATTCCAATATTTCAACCTAATAGATATATTCAGAATAAGCGATCAATGATGAAGCAAATATGAAAGTACAACAAATGAGGATGACAATAAATTTTTTTGATTTTCCCATCAATCCCAACTCAGGTGTACTGTAGTTTATTGCTACCGGTAGTGACTCATACAACAAACGAATGCCTAACATTACACCCTCTTATGGCGCATGCCACCCTCCCTGTTCGAAGAAATTACAACTCCATAAAGTCCCTAAAGATAGGGCCAAAATAGAGTCTACCTATGTAAAAATTAGCTATCAGATTTTTGACAAAACTATTCCAATACCATCACGTTTGTGTGAAATTGAAATAGTAGAATTATTTAAAGTTATTGTAAACAACATTTCAAGAAAATGGTAATTTTTTGATCACTTGAATCTCCCCTGGTAAACAAAAGATTCACAAAAATATTGAAACCAATGACATCCGAACAAAAAGCACCTGCAGGCGTGACTATAACTGGTACTCCAGTACCTGAACGCTCGGTCTCAACCTAACAGGTTTATTTCGACCGTTTAGGACCACAAAAATTTATGAAACAACTCAGATCTGTTTCAAATGAAAATTTCAATCCCAAAAATATGTGCTGGTTTCAAAAAACATTTTACAAATTGATGAAAAAATGTGTTCTTCTAGAGATCGGGTATTCTTTCACAACATATCAGTAAGAATCGCAAGATTTAAATTGAATTCAACTCACCCAAAGCTCAGTGCCCCAGTTCATGGTTTCGTTTATAGCGGTCATTAATCCAAATTAAAGAATCCACTCAACAAAAAACACTACACAACACGATTTGCTGAAGAAAATATATTCTTTACGAACTAAACACACTTCTTCTAATAACACTACCCAACATGGCTGTCTCACTACTGCTCCTTAATTCCGTGTACTTCAGATGAAGTCACAATGGATAATGAAAAAGATGTGACAAAGTTAGTGCGATCAGACACATCTAGCGGCTGGTAGAGGAAATAAATTAGTTCTAACTCTGAAAAGAAGAAGTTCACTTATGTGAAGAAAACTTTAATAGGATAGGGAAAAATTACTACCGATGACGCCAGTCTAATCTAAGCTAATTCTTTAGACAATGTCTAAGCATAGTATGAAGATTATCTTTACACTATGATTTTAGTCAAATTTCATTTGAGGAGACATCTTAAGAAAATAAAACAATATTTTTGGAGACACTGTATTGATAAAAAATTTAAATGAATATACAATGAAATGAATGCAAAACTAATATATGTTAGGTAGTTAACACAAAATATAAAATTAAACAAATTGTAAGAACATAATGAGTAATAGAATGGTTATTTTCTTCGATGTAGCAAAACGATGAAATACCTAGTTAAAAGCTATGAGGAGTTCATAGTGTTTAGTGTTTCAAAGCGATCATTTTCTTCAAGTCGATAAAATGATGATGAAACAGAGCAGATATAAAACTGACAGCTGTGAAATTAATATCTGGGTGTAGGTAATTATTGAGTTTGAAAAAAATGGACATTCATCTAGTCTAGACATACATTTTTAGGTCGAGTGATATTTCAACAAGTTTGAAAGTACAGTTATTAAAGACATAATGTTCCAATATATGATCAGAGTAGGTACATAAATGTGTAAACTTGTTTTTTCCAACAACAGGACTTCATCGTTGAAATCTATCGGGCCTTATTATGAGACCGCAGAGCCGACACCCAAGTCACTTACTTGACATAACTGGATGAATTACCTTCACGTCGTGTATTTTTTCGATTTCAATGAAACTGTAACTATTCAGAATAATTTTTCGATTCGAATTGAAAATGTCTTATTATACTAATATGTTTCGATAAGGATATTGAGATTTCTGAATATCATATATAACATCATATATAAACTGTTTTTACTCAAGGTGTAGTTTGAATTAATGGATTGTATTTCATGAGATTTTGTGAATCACTTGAATGTGGTAATTCGTTTTTCATTTCGATCTCTTGTATCTGTTCATTTACATATCAATTTGAGTTGTCTCAGTAGAGTTAGGGTTTAGTCACTGTCATAATCATGATATCAAATTAAACCTATGAATTTCTCTAGCTCTAGAGCATTTATGCAATCATATAGTTCATGATTTGATTCTATTGTTTTAATATGCATCATGATGCATAACTAGGCTCTTAGAGTCGCCTATTATAGTCACCTATCATTCATGACACCTAGGATGTTAATCTCATGGGTGTCGTTTTATCTCTTTCAATTTTATCGCTGAGACATTTAGACTTCGGAGCCCACCATTATCAAGCCTGTCGATAATAAACTACATAAAGTACATGGAACGAATATATCTTTATTAACGGCGAATTGGGTCAGTGGTTATATCGGTATTAAGTCTCAACCCTGGGATCCAAAACCAGATATTTTTCTCGAGAACTCATTTAGTTGAAGGTGGATGATTCTGCTACATCATTGAATAATTCAAAAAACTTCTAGGATCAAATCATGACATGGAAATACCTATGTGCAATCGACGAGATCTGACAGATAAATTAAAACGTAAAATTTGCGACAGTTTCTCAAGAAGTGGTACTCAAGAAAGGAGAGTGTGGTATGATTGCCATAGCAGATGTCCTTGTAATCTTTTTGAGTCGATGATACAAGAATATTAGACTGATCTATGGAAACAACCCGATGAACGAGAAAGTGAAAGAACAGAAAAAGACAATGTTGATGAACCATTAAAGCAACTAGAAAAAAACGAAGTCAAGAAACGTCAAGAAACAAATTCACAAGGGTATTATTCTTGATCCTCTACGCCTTCTCAGGAAACACGATTCTCGGACCCAATGACCGCTTACTTCACGGTTGTTTTAGTCGTCAGTGGTTAACGATGCTGGCACGCCCTCCCAATGAGACGGAGCTTCGGGTATAAGACCTGGTTAGAAACTTTTTTATTGAAAAAATAATAGTGAATTAGCGAAGATGGCCATATATCATCTTCGGCCTTTGGTAGCCTGCACTACCACTTACCCAAACCAAAAACGACAACACAGTCAGGCGCACCTAAAAGGAATAACCCAAAACTTCTTTAGATACTGGGTGGTTAGCCCAATATACTTGGCTACCGAAACTAGAGGAGGTGGCTCTTCCAACCGCCATTTCGTAGCAATACGGCAACGTATTGCTACAGGAGTAGGTAGTAAGCCTGTACCAGGGTACATGGCAAAAATGTTTCAATCTGTGATGTGAAACACATCCGGAGCATGCCGCCTTAGCCATGCCATGCCGCCGGAGCCTTAGTCTTCTCTTCGGCGGGGGCAGGGTTATGTAGCTCCTCTTCAGCCGATCGTCTCCAGCAATATATGATCGGAAATGCAGGGCGCTTCACAGAATTACGCTCTGAAGCTACTACAAATGACATGTTTGGTAAAGACTTCCATAATGTTTTACAGAAGAGGCTGATAGATATGGCAATTCGAGATCGCCTTCAAATCGTTCGAACCGAAAGGGCGGTCATTCGGCTCGGAAGATTGCAAGATGGATAGACAAAATGAAAGTTTACAAGACAGCATGCATCCCGTAACTAATGTGTGATGGATTGCAAAATGTGTTCATCATAATTCAAGTCAAGACATGCTGCTGATTGCCAAGTAGCACTCTCTTGGCCAGATACAAATGATAGTGGCTGCTAAAAATTCACTAGTGAGGTGAGCGAGAAGTATCGCGGAAAATTTTGATTACCACGAGAAACATCGCTTACTCTAAGAGCCTCTGCGAGTTGTGAATAAGCCGCTGAATGCTGATCGGACGGAGGTCTTCTAGAATAACTACATGAACATCCGCAGTCACTCAAGGTAAACTCTCCAACATACTTCGAAGCAATCTTTACAGAGCTTTAACTCTATGAACTCCATAACCCTATACCTAGATGATGTAAAAAAGAGCCCTTGTGAACTTGTGATGCACTGTTTGGAACCTTTTGTGTAGTAATGAATATTACTGGAGTTTTTTTCCCAACACTAAACCGTTATTTTAACACCTCGACACGTGTTTCTATCACCAAGTGATCATCTTCAAACTCAGTTTGATCCAGTAATATTTAGCCCTTGCGAGTTGGAAAATTGTTGCTGCTTCTGGCCCAGATGGGCGAGGTAGCTAGTTTTCAACTACTGGAGAGCAGAAGTTTCCGGAATTGTTTGTCGAGGAGCGGGTTCCTATCCCCAAAAAAGGAGAATTTCCGATTCCAAAAAATTCCAGACTGATAACATGCTTGAATTCGTATTATAAGTTATATACGGACAACTTATACATACAAATACTTTCGCCCGTCAATCGAGTATTCGAACGGATATATAGCCATAGGGGGTTAAAGGAGTCGCTGGATGCAAGGAGAACATGCTCATAGACAGATGTTACAAGTTAACTTTCTATGTTTTGGACTGATTACAGCAAGACATTTATATAATGATTGTTTGAAGATGGTTGATAATGTTTCATGGTGAGCAAAAAAAACCCTAAACTGAAATCACAATAAAATAAAATACAAACAATTGAATATCACCCGAACACGATTGTGGATACTAACAATCGAAACATCGTGAAGTAACTTGGCTTGAAATCTTCAAAGTTTCATTTCTATTTTATTGTAATTTCAGTTCAGGGTTTTTTGCTCAATATAATTGTTTTTTCCGTTTTAGTTTCATTGACACCTTCAGGAATTTCAAATCATTTTAAATCATATTAGATAATGAAAGTCCAAACTAATGAAACTCAAGGCATTCAATATATCCCATAAGCTCATTTTGCATTTGCTCAGGTTAGAGCTTGAACAAAGTGGGTTATACTTTTCCCGACATCAGAGAGATCGAGGACTTTTGAGTTTCTTCTTAACAGAATAATGATATTGGATGGAACACGTGAAGTCATCGGGAATACGAAATTCCTTCTCTCTCGACTCCAACTAACCTCCCTGTAAATTTAGCTCAGGAGCGAGTCTACAGAGGAGATGGATGTCGATGTACGACTCCAACGGACCTACCTGTAAATTTAGTTCAGGAGCGAGTCTACAGAGGAGATGGATGTCGAGTTTACGACTCCAACGAACCTCCCTATAAATTTAGTTCAGGAGCGAGTCTACAGAGGAGATGGATGTCGAGTTTACGACTTTAACTGACCTCTCTGTAAATTTAGTTCAGGAGCAAGAGCTTCTCAACTCTTGATCCAACAACTGAACCTTAAAAAGAAGGCTTGGTGGTGCAGCCAGGAAACGACCGAGTCGTCTCCTGAAGAGCAGGGTACCTTATGAAACCGCTTTGCACCAAATTCTTGAGCGGCGTACGCAGAATCTGTCTCAGGTGGGGGAATAAACCCCCCATGAGCAGGTTAGCAAACGTTTGCGCTCAGCTAATGATTCACCACAACCAGAGGCGAAAAAGCCCTGCACAGCTGAATCTAAGGCATCGTCAGGTGTAGCTGACGTGCAAAAACCCTCATATGGGAAGGTTGTCGTGGGTATCAAGGTGGGAATCTTGCAACTTGACTCTCCGACTACCTAATTAACTGAGCATATACTTTGTGCCTGCCCCGCTGGGGACCGAATCAGGTCTTTAGAGTTCGGCAGAGCCTTACTCTTACCATCAGACCTGAAAGACCACTCACCATACAAACTAATCGGCTTCGTTAAGCCGAATAGATTGTACCCTCCACCGCAACCCGCGGTGGAGGGTCGAATAGACCCACTCACTTTGGACCTAACCTAAGCTAACAGTCCGAAATACTCTCGGACACTGAGTTAAACCAGAACGCATTTTGAGGAGACCACTGTGCCACCTATCATATATTTGAAGAGATGAAGACTAGAAAATACTGTTGATAATGTCCATTTTATGTAGCGTATTCTTGTAGTCAGTTCAAATGTTATCTAACCTC